ACGTTTCAAGTACTCAAAGAGGAAGCTTACACCATGGACACGAGCGAGATCACTGAAGTTTATCACGAAGAGCACGAATTAAGCCATGGACACCAGTACCGACTGCTCATCGATTGAAGGGCAGTGGGGAAGAGTTATCTATTCCATGACGAGGCTCAAGTAATGGATACTAGTGACTCTGTGATAGAATGGTCCAAAGAGAGAATTATCGATGCGTTGAAGAGCCACCTTTAAACAACTTTGCTTGCGTCCTTGTGGGATGAAATGATAAATAACGGGTCTACTATAGCCATGATGTCAGGTCAGATGGAAAGACAACTTAATGGACCTGTAATGGACATATGCTTAAATAACTTTTGTTGACCTGTTAATTTAATATAATACCATTTGGAGTACGTATTTTGTTTTACATAGACACTACCCACCTAGACTAGCCTTTTTTATTTGCGGGCAGTGAGAAAATAATATTGTAAACATCTGAATAAACCAATAAATGAAATGAAATGAAAACTCATACCTGCTAGAATGGCCAGCTGACTCAAGATACTTCCTTTGGTCTAGTCTACAATCAGGGAAAAAAGTAGTTGACACGCTTGTTTAATCAACAATTTCATTCATTTATCATATTCATTCCCTTTAAACGCCGTAAATCCCCCCACCCCACCCCCTAATCAGTGTTGGCTGAAGTAAACGAAAGACTTGAGGGTCCAAAATACAACATTGATTTTTGGAGGGAGGGGGTTAGGGTACACAGGAGAAGTGAATAGGTATGTCCACTATGCAAAAAGGGGCCATTTTACGAAAGTGTCTGAAGACTTATGTCTCTCATTGTACCGATCTCTCTTCCGCAGTTCAATAGGACAATTGCACGATGACGATATTTGACTACAACTACCAGAATTCATTTCGGTTTTGCTTTGTTATTTAAATTTGTCAATCCCGCTGAGGATTAAAGAACAATAGCCTAAATTTGCACAAGAAAACAACAAACTCAAGGATTCTGGTAGTTGTAGTAAAATGACGTCATCGTGCAATTGTCCTATAGGAGGACATTTGAAAGAAACAGTTCTCTGGGGTACCATAACGTGGTCTGAAATAGGCCCGGGAGAACAACATACTATTGTGGATCTTACATGTTGAAGAAAGCAGAAATTGCATTCCGTGGGAGATAATGAGCGTGTCGGAACAATGAGAGTAGAGGAAATCTCTGAGTCTCCAGAGGCCACCTAGCCTGCGAGAAGGCTCATTTGTGTTACCTTGGTCCCAGACGATTTTCTTGAAGTTTTTCTTCGCGAGAGAGACAGCGAGCCGCGAAGCGGCGATAGCAAGTTGTCACCGCTTCGCGAGTCGCTCTCTCTTTTGCGACGAAAAATTTCAAGAAAAACTTCTGGGGCCAGAGTACATTTGTGCGAGTTCGGGGAAAATTTTGGCGGCGGAGCTTGCAGAACAAGAAGAAAATACAAAAACAGAAAGAGTGAATGTAGCTGATGAATGAACTGTAACAAAACTGCTGTTAAACAGGAATCTTGAGTAATTACAAGATCCCCTTCAATAGGGAGGACTGGTACGAAGCTTTTAAATACGAAAAAATGATATCAATGTGGTAATTGAGTACATTTACACAAGCCACTGTGAAAAAGGCTTAACTAGTTCCTAGTTATTATCATTATATTTTACTAGATTTTTGAACATTCATATTTATTTCACAAGGCAAATTATGAGGCTATCCCTACCAAACGTTAAACAGAAAAAGGACCTTTCTTTTTACTGGCACAAAAATTTTTCACAAACTCCCTTTAAACATTGTGAAGAGTGAAAACATTCAAACGTTCTGCCGCCGAGCAAGACATTTCTTTTTATCATAACTTTATATTTTATTATATTTTGGGCTTTAAATGTGATTTTGCATTGTATTTTTAGGCTTTTTAATGTAGTTCTTAAATTAAAATTCCCTCTGATGTCATTTTACTTTTAAAAATGTCATCTCCTTAGCTTCTTTTGTATAATTTTCCATGAAAATATGGCTACAGTCATCCAAGAACATCAGAGTGATTTGTTTATGGTGTGTTTGGGACCCGGGAAGGGGTACTCCCTTATTTAGATTATGTCCGGCGCCAAAGGGTATGGTTTTTTAGTCGTTTTGGTCTGAAATGGAATATCAACTTTGACCATTTTGGTCCGAGATTACGGGAGGGTCGACTGTACATAAATTTCCGGCCAGCTTTAGTTCAAAAAACCCTGGAGTCCGGCGCGTGACCGGAGCGCGTACACAGTTGGCGTAAACTAATGATGAAGAAGTAGCGACCACCCAAAATGCAAAGACTGGTGGTCGCTCACGGGAGGTGGTCGTTTACAAGAATTAAACCACGGGGGGTCTCTTTCGAGAAGAGGTCCAGGTACATCTTCTCTATGGAAGATAATTTATTGTATGCAATGTATAAGTTAGGATATGTGTAGATCCATGTTGTCACTAAAGTTCTTAGTATATTCTAAGTAACATATTGCACGCGGCGGAAATAGGGATCAGAAAATGTGGCAAGTGGTCGCTTACAAGAGGTTAAAAACAATGGAAATCATCAACCGTCAGGCCCAAAAAGTGGTCGCAGTCCCTTACAGGAGGTGGGCGTTTACTAGAAGTTCCAACTTTAAGGCTTTGACTGGGAAAATTTTGGTGTTTTGGATTGCCGGTCGCTTACGAGAGGTGGTCGCACATGGAGGTTGCGCATTATGCAACCTGCTTTAAAGTGTGGAATTTTAAACTCGAAACTTTGTACAGTTTTGTATCTTACTTAATAAAAGCGTATAAACATTGCCTTTAACATTGGTCTGACCTGAGGAACTGATTAAAAGGAAGGTCTGAAATAGCGTATCACATTTTTGATCAGGTCTGAAATAGGGCAGGGAGGGGGGGAGGGTTGGGACTAATGGCTACAAAAGAATTAGTAGAACTATGCAAAACAAGCAATTTGTTCTTATTTTAATCGTTACAATAAACAATCTTAACCATCATGGTTTCAATACGAATGCTTTGATTGGTTGTTTGCCGCAATATCTACATACAAATTTCCCAGACTGATGTCCATAATAAAAGATGCCCTTAAAGATTTTTTTTGAGAAGTGCTAGTTTTCCGTTTTCTACGTTCTCTGACAGTATGTAGAATTCTATTGGCTATGAGAGCACCTCTTTGGAGTTAGTCTGTCACCTCAAGTCATTAATTGTCATTCAATGGTAATTCAAAGAGTCTTGAAAACAAAACACATGTGATAGATGTCAATAAGCCTGTTCACACACACTATATTTTCTCTTCAAAGTCCGTCGAGCGCGCGTGATAAAAAATAAACCGCAGGGGATTTATTGACCGCCAGCGCAAAGGGGAAGCGCACGCCGATGTTTTCCAAAAGAAGGAAAAGAAAAATAAAACATCGTTTGTGTACAGGCTAGCTGTCAATGGCAGAAGAACTCTTAGAAGTGTGCTTGCAATAAGTTTTCAAAGACCTTAGCTCGAAAAGATTTTCATATTACCAACTGGGCTAGGAAAAAAATAATTTTTCAGTTGTGTGTTGTAGTGACTGGGGTGGGAAGACCAGAAATGGCTTTGCAAGACCTTAAGTTATTTCCTTGTTGCAAAGCATAATTTGAGACTGCAAGAAGTGGAGGTAACTTTTACGGGAATATCAGTGAGTGAGTTGAGAGAAGAATTGGACTGCTTACCCTCTAGGGTCCTCTAGGTCCCAAGAGTGACCAACATTAATTTTCTCCTAACAACATCAGCAAATCATTAAAACTAAAGGTTACGAGAATTACGAAATTGATTACCAAAGGGAGAATTCTTTGATCCTAAATCAAATTCTCTCAAATAGTCTTAAAAGAAATGTATGGAGATCAGTCTGGTGAATTTGGGGCTTAAAGGGTTAAAAGAAATAAAGCAAGAAAAGTATAACATGGTATAGGCATATGATGAAGTGGCTGAGGACAACAGATTTATTAATTCATTTTAATCACCATCATTGTTTAGCACCAACGTGGCAGTGACTTTTGTAGACTAAAGACTAGACGGAACTGAGGTAAGCATGTTTGTCCTGTTTGCCACTAATTTAAAATTGCATTGCATATTTTTTTCTCTGGGTGGGTCTGAGATCAGTTTCATGTTGTCAGACAATCTGCTTTGTTGATTCAGCACTGTCAAGTAACTAAATTGGGGGAGTAAACGGGAAACCAGGGTCTTTCAGGAAGGTGCCTCCCTTCCTATTCTCCCCTTGTGCATGCACACTCCTCCTTAAAATTATTTCTCTCCTCTTCCTAAAAAAGCCACCGCCTGTTACACAGGCTAGAACTTAACTAGGAAAAAACACTCACTCAATAAAAGGTCAAGAAATTAGGATATCTCGCACTACTTTCCCAATGAAAAGACTACTGAATCTGCTACATTCTGTATTGAAGAACCTTCTTTTTCAGATTCTTCATCCTCAATGGCTTGCACTTTTGCAATCATTTGTGATCATTATTTTGCTGTTAAGAGGATAAAGAAGAGATGACTAGTTTGAAGGTTACTTCAAAGGGACCACTTGTACCAGGAAGTCTTTCTGGGATGTTTAGAACTGACAAGTGAATGAACCCTCTCTGTAAGAACCCTCTCTGTAAGAGTTACCCCATCACCAGTCACAAAGGGAAACTCTTGGTCCTTTTGGAGAGTATTTTTACGATTTGAATTTTGGTTTAAAGTTGGTTCATGTGATATCTTAGGTTTAAGATGCCATTCATACCTCCAGATCACTTATGTCAGCTGGAGTGCCCCACTAACCCTTTAAGTCCCACGAGTGGCCAACATCAAATTTTCTCCTAACAACATCAGAAGATCATCAAGAGGTTATGAGAATTACTAAATTGATTACCAAAGGGAGAATGCTTTGATCTTAAACCAAATTCTTTCAACAGTTCTTAAAAGAAATGTATGGAGATCAGTGTGGGGAACTTGTATGCAGATCTTGGGGCTTAAAGGTTAAGGGGTATATCCATAATCAGCACCAAGGGAAAGTAGCAGCTGTATCATTCTAACTTTAGAGGTAATCACAGCAAGAGAAAGGGGAGTTTCCCCTGTCACTGTTCTAGCATTGATGTTAGCTCCGTACTTCAGAAGGACTTGTGCAGTACTTGTATGCCCTCTAATGGCTGCCTCGTGGAGGGCAGTGTCCCCAGATTTGCTGGCTGCATTTACAGAGCTCCCTTGATTAATAAGAAGGTCAGCAACGCTTTCATAACCACCAAGAGCTGCTAGGAACAGTGGTGTCTTACCCTCAATATCTGCTGCATGTAGATCTGCACCCTTTTGAACCAAAAGTACAGCAACATCTCTATCCACACAATAGTGAAGGGCCGTTCTTCCACAAAGATCACGCAAATTTACACTACTTCCATACTGAAGCAAAAGAGCAACTGCCTCTTTACCATGTTTTTTTCTAACTGCTAGGCTCAAAGGGGTTTCTCCACAACTGGAGACAGCATCAACTTGACTACCATGTTGCAGAAGGAATTTGACAGTCACATGATGCCCTTCTTTGGCTGCATTATGAAGAGGGGTGTAATGCGCCATGTTTGAGACATTTATATTGCTACCACTATGTGTAAGCACCTTTACACAGTCTATATTCCCCTCCTCTGCTGCGAGTAAAAGAGGGGTGTCACCAAATCCGGTGGAAGATTCGAGATCAGCACCACTTTGAACAAGAATGCTGACTACTGCAGCATAACCTTTCATTGCTGCTATGTGTAATGCTGTTTTTCCCCAATTTGTTTTATAATCTACAAGGATACCAACAGAGAGAAGATATGACACAGTTGCTTCTTTTCCTCCCATAGCTGCATAATGAAGCACCCCCCTTCCCATCCAATCTTTTGCATCTTTATTTGCCCGGTTCTCGACTAAGAATCTAACAACTTGGCATGAATTGAATCTAGCAGCAAGCAAGAGAGGCGTTGCATGATCATCATCACGGAGCGGAGAAGGTTTGTCGATGTTTTCTCTCACCGTATTTTTAAAGATTGTTTTGACCTGTCTGAGACTTCCTCGTCTTGCTGTTTCGTGTATTAGTGAAAGACCCGCCAGTGCATTTCTCTCAGCCTTTTCGATGATATGCAACAAACTCAAAGCTTTGTTGTTCTTAACAATATCTTTCGCTGTAAAGCCACTGTAGGAACAACACGCAGAATTTCTAACTGTACATTTCAAGGCCAATGCTGTATCCATTTTACTGGGACTACACCAAAGAACGGTCTTACAAGTATTGGTATCTTGTTCAATGCACGCAGCATGAAATATACTATAATCGTAGTCACCATACGGTATACAGACAGCTTCAAACGCCAGATCTGTCAGTCTATCCATTTATTCATCATAAAAATCGACACATGAAGACATGAACACTGGCAAAAGACAGAAAAGAACCTATAAGCTTACGCCAAGCAGATATTAGATGTATCCTTCATGTAATGGTAATAGACTGTTTATACAGCGCGAGTTATGAGCGCCGAGATTGATGGGAAGGTTTTAAAGAAGTTGCACGGGGTGCGGAGTTGGGTGCGGAGAGGCCATACGACGAAGGACTGTTTTGAACGTCTACCCCTAACCCTAGCCTCCTCGCAGACGTCCTTTGGGGTTCGTTTGTCACTTATTCATTTCTCCCCCACGGACATTTCTCCGTGGTGGAGAAATGAATACGTGACAAACGAACCCCAAAGGACCTCTGCGGGGAGGCTACCCCTAACCCCATACTTGAAGCAAAATGTTATTGTTCATTGAGAAGAAGCACATAAAAACAGTAATAATATTGCAAAGAAACAGAAACCATGAACTGCAACTAATAACATCAAGAAACATGCCATTTTTTTATTATAATTACTTCGGTGATTATAGCCCGGGCTAAAGAGAAAACTGCATGGATGTTAAATTCTAAAAATGATGTTAAAACTGCACGTCTTGGATAGTGAATTTTAAAAACGGTGTTTTAACACTTCTTAAATATTTATGATGACGCTGAAGATGCAAAAGTAGACACAAAGGTGATTAGATGACAAGAGCGCTTAACCGTGGCGGAGTACCATTCCATTCCAAAAATTAATTAGGGATCATCAAGGGGTAGGTATCGTTTCAGGGTCGATTTGGGGTTCATTTCGGGGTCGGGATCATTTCGGGGGCTGTACAGCTCGGCTTCGCAATTCCTCTGTCAAATGCGCACACTGAAGATCTCGCCAGCTACGCAGGCTAGAGAAATAGCCGAAGCGACCACCATGAAAAGACTGTATGGCGCAAAAGTCGGGGCAAAAGACACTGGCGACACACTGAAAGGCGTACAAGTATAACCTTTAATTGAAGCCACTCTTTAAAACAATTATGCTACAGTTAAAAATCTAATTCAGTGACAGGTAAATCGACTTGCAATTTTACTGCATACAGATGAGTGAATCAGTAAACAATTTGAGCGAGTCAAAGATTCATTGTGATCAAAACAAAAAACACAGCGACAGCAAATCAGCATTCCGAAATGGAAAAAATTGTTGTTAACAGAAGGCATGCTTATTAGAATGTATGAAACTTGGTTGGACACACATGCGAAATTGTTCTAACAAAGTGACAAAAACGACAAAATTACTTAAATAAAGATGCCTATAACATCAAAAATTGTTCTCTAGCTTAACTGGAAAGTCAACTCCGCAATTCGAAAAGAATTAGACTAACCGAATCCTACCTCGCCTATTACATGTACTGTTTGTGTCCTTCACAAATTAACTTCGCGACAATTTAGATTTTCAGAACGCAAAAGGGAAAAATACTACTGACTAGGGCAACTAAGACTACTACGATTCGGAAACCAGCTATTATTGCGGTAGGCTACAAAAACGTCTAATACACTGTCACGGTACAATTCAAACAGAATGTATGTGATGTAACTGGAACCGATTATTCCAAGTCCCCAAGCTAGTGAATATTACAAGATTAACACCAAAAATCAAGAACCAGCTTCCCCAGTGTCTCCAGTGCTTTTCTTTGTGTAAAGTTTTCCAGGGCTTTTGAATCCCTTTCCCCTGATCTTGGTGAGTTCCTTATCATTATCAGAAGAATCTACAGAATCCATCTGTCGAAAGAAAAACATTGAAGGTCAGTGTGGTTCAACATTGGACGATATAACGTTTTCATTGGGGGCCAGTTTAGAAAACAATACTGAAGGGTTACTGACAAGACGCTGTAAGTGACGAATTAGCCTTGGAATTGAATTTGCAAAGAAGACCAATTCATATAGTTAAACATTGAAGTTCAGTAAAAAGCAACATTGACGAGGTTTATGCTCACGATTTTTCTAATTAAAAACCTTTGCTAGATTAAATGGTCACACTTCAGTTTTCAATCCACAACGTTAATAATCAGAGAATTTGTTAAAGTTAGTTTTTAAAAAAGGTTTATTTATTTGACTGAAAGTATTGACAATTTCTTTTTTATGATTCAAGACAAAGATTACATAGACGTTAAGTAAGTTGTTAAGGAGATCTACTTTTTGACAAATTTTAAGAGACAAACTATCGGGAAAGTTGCCCTACTTCAATGAAAACAAAGCCTAAGGAAAAAATGGCGTTTTATTTATTTAATTTTTAAAGAAAAAGAAAAGCAAAATGCGGAACGACTGTATAGTGTCTCGTATGATCAAATAAATCTACAATTAATCTTTTAGAAAGGTAGTTTTAAGTGCTTGTACTAAGTTTTATTACCAGTGAAGCTATTGTCTAAGCTAAGACTTAAAAGAACTTGATATAAGTGGTCCAGTAGAAAGGTCAAATGCCTTACGGTATTACCAATCTCTGCCTTAATTGTAGCCCGTGTACAGAGGCCCTCTCTCAGGAAGTGAGATTTTTTTGAGGGGAGGGGGGAGGGGGGCGGCTGTACACGGACTACCTTAATAATGGAGCCAAGTCATATCTCCAATTCGATCACCCCATTCCCCAAAGTTTGAGGTTAATAAGTTGGCAATCCACTCGCAAGGTCAGTCAAGTTTACAATAACATAAGTGTTTACAGTTACCGGACAGTGTCTCTTAAATGGGAGAACTAATACGTTTTGACAAATTTTGTACAACTTCCAGGTATGCTGGGTATGAATGCAAGCTCAGCTCGTTTTAGACGCGACAAACATCTTTTAATCATTTAACAAACTGCAATATGCCTCAATCCTACAGTTTTTATGATTAGTACAATTAACAACCTAAATAGTGCTCTAAAGGCATGCATGGCTTAGTGCAGTCACTTTATTAGAAGCTACCGACTATTATTTTGTCAGTTTAAATTTAATATTACAAAAAAAAACTTCTTGTTTAAGTTAGTTTTCTCTACTACAGACGCTTTAAAAAGAATGACCAAGCAACAATTCTATTGAAGGGCTCAAGGTCCTTCAACAACATTGTAAATCATAAAAAAATCAACAAAACACAAACCATAAAATGCCAAACCAAACAAGGAACACAAAAAAATAAAAGCAACTGCACATGAACCTGTTTCTAATGTCAATGCCATTCTCAACTGGAAGCTTGCTCAACCTAAAAACAATTACGGCAAGATGATAAGGATGTGATGAACATTCTACAATAATTACAACAACTGAAACAACCCGCTTATCTTAGGCGAATCTAACTAAACAGAAAGACTTCACCTATCCATAACAAGATGCTTTATGTGTTTGACAAGGCTAAGCACCACTAGTACCTTTGAAAGCAAGTATCTTTAAATGAAAGGTCTTGTTACAATGGCAAACCCTTCTGACGTTTCTCACACTCGTCACAAGTGAATGCCCAGACTGCACAAACAGCTCTCATCTCGAAGACACCTTACAATTGCCGACACCCTGATAATATTATGGACAGCAGCTAACTCCCCGGTGACTCCACTGCCACTTTCCCTACAAAATGATGTCTGAGGAAAGAGCGCAGAAATGTCATACTGATTAAGTGTAACTACCCAGACCTGGGTACTGCTTCTGATTGGGTGAAGCAGATTTTCCTTGTGGCACAACCAATCAGAAGTGTGGGTAGTTACACTTAATAAGTAACAAATTTCTGCGCTCTTTCCTCAGACATCATTTTGTGGGGAACCCTGTGGTGGTGTCGCAAAATGTCCACTGTTTTTTCAGGCTACTACCACTACTTGTGGACTTGAGGGTATCTGGCAATAAATGTGGCTACACGTAATTTAGGAAAAGTTAAATTGCAAGCCAATGCGGTCAGTGGTCTCCTCTTCAAGAGTACATGATCAGTGCGGTGACCGCAAGGACCTTTGCTTATCTTGTGACTTAAGCACTGAATTTCCCTCAGTGTGACAGTTCCAGTCGGCAGCTGCATGCAAGGGTGGTGGTTTGGTTCCCACTCGCAGAGTTGCCATGGATACCTCCTGGCTATAGCTGAGGTGCGTAGTTTAAAGGGAGTTTTATCTTTTAAGTTGCAAAATGATGGCTCAAAATATTATGACAGAGCTCCTGTAACAATGAGGGCAAATTTCCTGACATTAACCAGTATTTCTTTCCTTTTCCAAAAAGGTTTTCATCAACAAAGATAGACAAGATAACTAGATCATGTACAAGGGTTGAGCAAGTTAAACTAAATGGACTCTAAATACAGGATACAAAATATTATAATTTGCAAACCTCATCATGGGCATCATTAAGCATCTCGTCTGCTGCTTTTTGAAGATCAGAATCATTTAACATTAGCTGAAATATATAACAACACATCGTTAGTGGGAAACTTGAAAAATATAAAAATAATTGAAGTGCCTGGGGAAAAGTTCCAAGTTAATTCTAATAAACTGGTAGTTTTTCCTTCTAGGTTGCCTTCTGTTTGCTTGTTAACAAAAGTGGGAATTGGGAAAGAGAATGAAAGTCACTTTGATTTCTTGACTGTAACTGTTGCTATAGTTTAAAAACTTTTTAGTATAGGTCAGAAACAAACACTCCAAAGATCTACTATAAGTTACCACAAATAAAATTCAAAACAATAAACCAACTTAAGGACTACAATAACAACAAGCAGAAAACCATGTTGGGCTAAAAATCAAATTTACGTATCTTGTCAATGCACTAGCCATGTGTGAAGCACTTACTTTTTCAGACTCTCCATTCTCAATTGCTTGGAAAGTTGTTCCTTCTGATGTTATTATTCGTTGCGTAGTGGATGAAGAAGAGATAACTTGTTTGGAGGTTACAACACGGGTGGTGGTAAATGAAGATGAACTTTCCATAGTTGAAGAGAAGGTACTGGACTCCTCACCAAACACTTTTTCTGGGGCTTCTTTCTCCTCGGATGTGGAGGACTGATGAGTGAATGATCTTTGCTCTGAGATAACAACCCTCTCTGTTACAGATGTTCCCCCTTCACCACTCACTACCACAGCAGCAGCATCATCTGCCTTGGCTACAAGCTCATCTTTCTTTTCCTCTGCCTCTTCCTTCTTTTCTTCAGCCTCCTCCTTCTTTTCTTCAACCTCCTCTGACACAGCTGTCTCTACCTCTGTCGCAGTTGCTGCTACAGCAACAGCTTCAAGTTTGGCTTTCTTCTTCTTTTCTTTTTTCTCTTTCTTTGCCTTTTTCTTTTCCTCATCCTTTTCATCATCTGATGATGAAGATGATGACGATGAGCTGGATGTTGAGCTCTTTCTTGACTTCTTTTCTTCTTCTTCGGCGACAGTCTCAGGTTCTGGCTCAGGTGGTCTCATTCCTTCAGCAAGTTCAAGCACACAGTCTGGCTTCAACCTGCCAAAGTACAAACATAATCAAGCCAAGAGTTAATGGACCACTAACTTATAACATTGCACTGGCTGCAGGTTAGAATAGAAGCTTAATTTAAATGCCAGCACCATCAAAGAGTTACTTTTCTGAGCATGCTTATGTTACCTCAAGTTGAACGTTATTGCACATTTAACATACTTGTGGTTGTGTTACATGTAACTAAACATTCCCAAAGGAAATAAAATCAATATTGAAGCAACAAGAATACACTGTCAGGGTGCAAAGAAAGTCAGTTTTACAGCTTGCCATTCAGGCAAGCTGTAGATAGCAGGTACTAGCCCACAAGTCATTTCAACTAGCCCCCAAACCCTTTTTGATTAGCAGGATTGACAACAATCCTTCTGTAATTTGAATTTCCCCAAAAAACAGCGCTTGCCCGTCGGGCAAGTTAAGAACAAAAAATACTAGCACCATAGCAAAATCCACTAGCCCCGAGCTATCAGACATGACTTTCTTTGCATGCTGACTGTATCAGTACTCCATCCTTTCCCAAATAATAATAATAATAATAATAACAACAATAATAATAATAATAATAGTAATAAAAAACAGCCAAGACCAATAAAGGGGAAAACTTACAAGTCTGTTGCAGAGAGTGTAAACCTTTGCATCTCACTTCGTGAGCTGAGATAGAACCCTTGACCACTGACTGAGAACACCAACGATTTAATGGCATCAACATCTGACTTCCTCATGGCTGATGCCTTGACTTGCACCTTCAAGTTGGGAAGAGAATACACAATCAGTTCTCCTTGGTTGCTCACACAAGCCAGGCAATGATACACCATTCCAGAATCATCGTTCTTGCTTCTGACGTTAATAAGGCCAATCTTGCGAACCCTGGAGCCATCAATAGCTGTAAGCTTTTCTTTGTTACGAGCCTTCAAGTGTGGCAGGCTGAACACCTTAAACTGTTCCTCAGAACAGATAACCAAAGAATGTGTTCCACTCATGTCTGGCTCTGCAACAGAAGTAATACAGAGAACAATATGATATTGGGCAATTTTTGTTTGACCTTGAAATGACATGCATGAAGAAAACTAAAACAACAAAAACACAAGAATACGAAAAGTTGATTGTTATGTCAAACAGACTAAGTTCGTACAGCTGTTGTTTATTTTCAAGAAAATGCAAAGCATTGCCAGCTGAAAAAAGATCACTATTACGCAAGCTTTCACTTTTATACTCGTCACTGGCTGATAAAACAAATGAAATTGTAGGAAGCTATTTTTCAAAGCCAAAAAAATTGCCCCTAGGTTTAACTTTAACTCTTCACTCCAAATAAGGCCAAATTTAATGGTAACAATACAGGGGACTTTCTGACCAGACTCAAAAGTTAAGGCTGAATACTATGGCCAAGTCAAAAAAATTGTTTCTTGTCCATATTTCTATTACCTTTGCCTTGATCCTCTACGATATCATTAAGCAAGGGTGTGCCCTCTTTATCCACAACAAACATAGAAACCACAGGAGCTTTGTGTTTGAGTTTGATTTCCTTGCCGATCTCAACTTGAACTTCCTCCTCTGTTCTTTTTTCTCCTTCAGGGATGGTCAGGTAGCAGACAAAAATGTGCCCAGCATTGGTTCCTGCCCACAAGGAGGGACAATGGTGCACTCCTGAATGTAGACAGAGCAATGTTAGTGTTAATGATAACCTTGCATAGGCATTTTCACATGACATCACGGCGACAATATTGGTGTTCCAAAACAATGAAACGACAGCCATGTTGGTGTTACAAGCCAACCCTGTGTGAGTTAAACTCTTTTCTTATGTAGGTGCTTTCTTTTAAACCATAGATGCATAGATGGTGGCCACACGAGTGAAAATACTCTGTACCTGGTTCGACAAAAGCAACCTTTTGAACAGCAGTGTACCCAAAAGCAAAGTTATGCGAAGACTGGACTACCATTGTTGAGGGGGGTAAAGGGGAATCCTACGCTTGTTTTACAGACGTTAAAAAGCACAAAAAAAACCACATCACACTGATTCAAATTCTGCGTTCACGTTTCGAGGAAATTTCTGAAGTAAAAAAGAGAGATTTTGTATATTCACCTTTTACGAAAATTATGAACACTAATGTCTAATTGTCTTAATCCTGTAATCACACAGAACCCTTTTCATCCCCTCATTGTTACAAAAGTGAAAGCTTACCATCTTTGATATAAGTGTCCACAAAGTACAAACAGCGAACCATACTCAATACACTCTCATCAACACGACTTTCCTCCACAAGCCGTGACACTGGTGTTGCTACTGCTTCCTGTGTGGGGGAGGCTGGGGCCTCTCCTTCTTTTTTGGGTGTTGCACCAGATCGGGATCCTTTGCGAGAACGCAAGCGGCGGAATGATCTACGGATGCTCTCTTTAAGGGACTTTCTTCTTGAGAGATGCTCTCCACTGTCAGTCTCTGCAAAAAAAGCTTTTAGTATCAGCATTACACAGTACCCCCCTGTCTAATGAAATTTGGAAAATCTTTCCAAACCTGCTGTGTCAAATTTTTTTGCTCAAGCTGACATTTTACGCAAGAAAAATCCATTTTTGGAAAGCATCTTTTTTGCAAAACAGAAACTGATTACATGTGCAAGACTTTGAGTACAAGACTTCGCGACTGGTAAGAATTTCTCTTTTAATCAGTGCCATAGAAAGAGTTTGGTTTTTTCTCAGGAAAGTTAAGTAATGAAAGCAATATTTAAAACTTTTTTTCCTGCATTTGCGTAGCCTTATTTGAACACGAGAGGGGTTGGGAGAATTCTAAACTGTTATGCAAACCCTCAATGAATTCTCCCAACCCCTCTCGTGTTTATATCAAGCTATGCAAACAAAGAAAATGTTGTCTATTACTTAAATTGTGAACAATGCTATATTCTTATAGCATCCTTCTCAGTGTGAGAAAAAATAGTTTTTGTTCTGAATACAGAGTACTCCCTACCTTGACTAACAGTCCATTTAGATGTGACCATCTTCTTATTCAAGGAATCGTACACAACGAATCCATGGACAGTTCCAGCTGCGATGAGTCCCCAGCGTGTGTCCACTGCCAATGCACTAACTGGTGCAGCTGGTATAAGCTGCAGGCCTGTTTGCAGTTTGAAGCCAGCTGGAACTGTGATTGAGCCTTCCTTTGGAAGTAATGGACCATGTCCCTTCCACTGAAAGTTCTCCTTGTCTTCAGTGAAATCAAGCTCTTCCATCTATTTGGAAATCAAATGATTTACGTTTTGACCATTAACTTTGTCATGGATGCTTTGGTAAAGCAAAATATTTCCTGTTGTCTAAGACCACAAAAATTGAGGGACTGTATGTCAGGGAACACAATATTAATGAGGCACTTTGAAAGCAGTATAAGCAACTTTATAGGGTGCAAAGAAAATCAGTTTTACAGCAGGATAACTAATTTATTTACATGAGATAATTAACTACACCTTTAAGATAATTAACTACTTGCATTATTAATTTGTTGCAGTTAGCTATGATTTAAACAAAAGCTTCAGAAGTCTTGAGCCATGCTGACTTAAGCAACACTTTTTCCAGCATTGTCTGCTGGTCTAGGTCCGGTGCTTCTAGCACACAATATGATTTCTGATAAAAAAAATCACAAGTAGCCATAGACGTAACATCAAAGTGTACTATACCTGCACTTCCACGCTTGTCTCCTCTTCTGACAGATCAAAGGTGAGAACCTGACCTCCATTGCCGGCAACTGTCATGGTCTTATTAGACGCGCAAAAAACAATCTTGGTCACAGCAAATCGTGGATCATCTGAGTATGGGCAGTAGTTACCGACCTTCTTGAATGGAGGCCAAACTTCTTCCTCGGCATCGCGGGCTTCAGAATCATGGCCTTCATGCTCCCCTACAAAATACTTGGCTGTGTTCAGTGTGTAGATGAGGCGCATCTCAAGATGGGAAACATCCCAAAAATTGACTGAACCATCTTCATGACTGAAAAAAAAAAAAAAAATTAAACAAGACAGAAAAGTGATTTCAGAAAAACAAACAACCATTTAGAAAACAAATAAAATTGCACCAAGCAGGTGATCATGAGATTAAATCAGTTTAACTTAAGGGCACTTCAGTTCAACTAGCCCTAAGCTACGAGAATCAAGCCAAATTTCTAATTATCAATTTAATATTTATTATTCCAGATAAGGTTACGAAATTTGGCTTGCCTCTTATGCAATGACTTGTACATTGCCCCAGGCTACTGGAGAGCATTTTGTCATATGCCCAGGGGACTTTTTTGTTAACAGCTGTTTATTTGCAATAACAAAGCACAAACAGAATTAGAAACATTTTTGGCAGCAAAATTAGCCATCACTTTCCTTTACAATGATGTTCTATTTACAACATTGGCACCATATAAACTTCAAATCCAATGCTAAATAAGTTTTTACTTATCTGCTCCAGAAATTCTTCACAGAATGAAACCATTTCACTCTCAAAATAATTATAAATGTATATATCTGTATTATCAAAATATTGTAGACAAAATGTCAAGGTTTAACCATTCAAATTATCTTTCATTACATTCTTGGCAAACTTCAGAATAACAAGGTCTTATAAGAGCAAGTGGGTGAAACTCTTGTAAACCTGATCTTGATCCCGAGTCATACACGCTCTCCACACTTTTCTTAATATTTTTCATATGGCACTGAAACATGGAGAATCTGTTTAACAATTTGTTTATCAAGACCTTTGTCACTTTCCTTTCCTTGTTGACCTTTACGCTTCTTTTAGCAGCGTTACCAAAGGAGAAATAAAGAAATGGAAACTGTTTTTATTTGAACTTAGGGGTCAAAGGGTAATGAGCCCATGTTAATCAGCTTACCCCGTTATCAGAAGGTCCTTTGCTTCAGGTTCTTCAATTAAAGTTTTTCCACCTGTAATGGGCCAGCTCTGCAAGAATAAACAAGATTAATGTAAGTAAATTTGCCTTTTTCACTCATTTTACTGTAACATGGTCTGGTGACTGTATAAGCCCTTAATAAAAAAATGTAAGGCTATATTCACGCCAGACAGCTTTTACGCCAGCATGAACACCATACAGCTCCTGTTCACACATGAGAAAGGTGACTTTGGCAGGTAACGGAGCAAATGCACGTGCACCACACAAATCTCTTAAGTGGAGAGACAAATAGTGGATAGGTGTTAATAATGTTGCTGGTTTGCACGTGACGTCACAGTGGCCATGTTTGTGGTCAAGAACAAAAACATTTCTCTCCTCTGGGAACTCAACTCTATATTTTAAATTCTTGTATTGTAAATTCTTCAAGAAAAACTTTTTGACCCCCAACATGGCCCCCTTGTAACATGGTTGCAAACAAAGAATACCAGATGGCTATTTATGTCAGCACGAAAAGCTATCCGGCAAAGTGAGAACATAGCCTAAGAGTACACAAGGAGTAATTTCATGGCAAGGTTTTGCAAACCTTTTCCAGCACTAATGTGTTGCAACTTGGCAGCCTTTTTAGGAAATCATATCAAGCAAAAATGCACAGACAAAGTGTCTAGATTTTTCCTTACTGAGTATGTATAACACTACAACCTACCTCCTGTGAGAAGTCTGTTGCCAGTTGTTTGGTTCCAGCATTTGCTATCTGGTCAAATAAGCTTGGTGGGCAGTCATGGCTATGACTTGAGCAAGTGATCGGAGAAGAGTGCAGGCATACAAGGTAAGGCTTCATGAAGGTGGGAAACCTGTGCAAAGGATAACCTGCATCAACGACCTTTTTTCTTTACTTTCGCAAATGTGGTTCACATCAATTTCACTCCAACATGGTCGCCACAACCAGAGGTTTCTGAAATTCCCTGACTTTCTCCCTGACAAATGTAAATTTTCCCTGACCAATCACAAATTAGTCCTGGAAATGGACTCAAACCTCTCCTCACAGCCATTTCTTTATTATTTCAGCCATGTCAAGTCATGTGCTTGGTACATGAATATTGATAGTTCCTCGACAATATGTGCAACATAGGATTGATTTTCTTGAAAACCCAACATCCGGTTTGTCATTCAATTTCATGAACAATATTTTTATTGATGCAACATGATATATGTCCATAAAATGTACAAAAGGTGTCACATAACAATAAAAGTTGGGGGAAAAGAATAAATATGTACTCTCAAAATTTCCCTTTTCCCTGACTTCTTTCCAAGACTTAAATTTTCCCTGACCACGAAGAAATTTTTTCCCTTCCTATTTCCCGACTCTGTGGCAACCATGTCCAAGTTTATTGTTATGAAAAATTATTCTTACCCAGCCTCCTTGGTCACAAGATCAATAACAACTAATTCCTCTTCACACAGCACCACAAGATAAGCTGGTTCTACACAAGAGAAAAGGACAAAAACAAGAAAATCAGTTGGCCAGAAGGGCGATATTTTGCCTCAGATTACTAGCTAACAGTCTGAAAAGCAAGCCCAAACTAAACTATACAAGTCTCTACGAAACAAACTTTGCTTGCCCAGCAGGTAACTGACCGTGAAAACATACAGGCCTCTCAGAAACCTCTGTTTCATTGGCCTTTGAAAACTGATCAGCTATTGTTTAAAAACCACAGAACAACTTTAAGTTAAGGAAGTTATGACCATCAACTGATAAACAGTTGTACAGCTGGAATGTTCACTCACCCTCTCCTTCCTTTTTCACAGTGAAAAAGTCAACAACACGAGATGTAAAGTCAAATGCAACCTGGGGTGTGTTGTCACCTCCATCAACCAAGTTTGCATCTTGAATGAGACAAACACAGTGCCGATCACCATAGCTGGCACGAGGCATGCCACCACTGAAGAACACTGATGAACTACTCCATTCCACTTTTGTGATTGCTTTGCAGGGGAAAGGACCCAGAGGAGTGACGGCTTTAGGTATTTCAGGTCCTCTTTCAAGACTCCATTTGGTGAGGCTGCCATCGCCATGAGCACTGATAAACTTTGTTCCATCAGAATGCCAGCTTACACTTTCTACTTCTTGAGGTTGTTCAGATGACTGGATGCTGAATGTGGCTTGAACACTACATTTAGCATGGTTCCACAGAACAACCAGGCCTTTCTTGTAGCCAATGAGAATCTGTTCGACAACATAACAAGTTATTTACATAAATAATGCTGTAGTTTTTGCTTTTCTATTAAGGTTACAGTTAATTAAAAGAAAAACTTAACAAGCGTCCCCCTTGATTAAGAGCCCTCCTTTTAGCCAAAATATTTAGTTGAAGTCTGTGCTTATTCAGGGAAATATGGCATGCAATTACATAGCTTCAAATAACAGCCAGGCAGATGCTGGCAATGTTGTCAGGTCAAACAGGACACACTTAACTTGCAAGTTAAATTCATAACGTCTTAGGATTTTCGAAATTTGGCAGCAAAATTGTGGGACATTCAATGCATTGCAAATAAGAATATTTTGTGTATATAAAAGTTTTCCTTCATCTAAAACAGACAGGATGTTGACTGAACCTTGCAATTCAGAGGTTAATAATAACACAGAAAATATTTGCATGCAAGCAAACAAATACAGACAAACTCTCTCTTTATATTTCTTGCTTTTTTTACTCTTTAAGTAGTAGTCTGAGCCTTTTATTTTAAAGTTACACTTGTGAATTTTTGTTAGAGTAAAAGGGTGGTCAGATTTTCAGGTTTTGGGACTTCTGTTTGCTTTTCACAGTTTGCAACAACTGCTACACAGGGTATTCTAGGTGCTGTGAGATTATTCTTTGTGAGGGTACTTTCAAATCAATCAATCACTCAATCAATCACTTTATTTAAGAGTCACTGGTATCTAGACAAAGGTAAAACCCTCTACTAATTGAGAGCACTTAAAGTAAACAAAATGGAAGACATGATGATTTGCCCTTGTGACAGGACCTTGATGACATCATGGAAATTTGCGACTAGCAGGAATTCCTCAACGACCAATTTGTCTCATAATTTTGTCTCTTATCAAATAGTTAAAAATTAGAATTTCTTTGAACAAGGAAATGACGGGACAACATGTCCAGCAATCCAAGGATTAGTCCAGTCAAGACCCAGTTCTGATCAGACATTGTCTGTTGACTAGCTGTTATTTGAAGCCCTGAATTAGTTGGCAGGAAATTAAAAAGGTTAGAAGTTCTTTTGCCCATATTTTCCTTCTGTTTCAGATGAAAGTAGCAGGGGGCTGGCTATCCTTGCCCCCTGGCCCTTACTGACAGTCCTGGTCACTTACAGCAGTTTCAAGTACACTACATTTTCCACCCTTGAGTGACAAGAAAACTATCATCAGCAGTGATTTTGTTACAAACATGTACCTCTGCATCCTGCATCCCTGACGCATTAAAATCCCTTAAGACACAAAACAATTCATGACATGCATCCCATAGGAAGCAAAGATTGATTGATCGATCTGAACATGTGTATTTGTGGAAATACCTCATTTGTGTAATTTCTGTGCTATTGTTTAACAATGCCTTTGTTGTGCTTCAAAATAAAAGGACTATATTTTAATTTTAGTATACTGTAATTTAGAGTTTTGGAGTCTGTCTTGAGATTAACTGTCTTTTCACATAAAGTCATGATTTTTCACAAGATGAGTCCCAGGACTTTGTAACAAAATCACTGCATCACTGATTTGTGTTCTAACCTTGTTTGAATCATCTGGGTGTTCCTGAATTGCTTCTACTGAACCTGCATTTGTTTTGCTCTCTTCCTGCACACTACCAAAAGAAAATTATATAAAGTTCTTGAACCAACTGCAAGGCAGTTAATAAATTTATACTAAGCAAAAGCCAATAGATACTAAATATTATTCTTTATGATTCAAAGTACCTTTGCATGACCACATCCTGATAGATAATGTATTCCTGGAGTTCAAAAGAATTGATATCCAACAAGTAGATGTTTCCACCCTCTGTTCCAAGGTAAAGGCGATTGGTTTTCATGGACAAGCAGCACACAGAGATCTTTTTCAGTCTACAAACATTAACAAAAGACAATGGAAGTAAATACTCTATAATTAAAAATTAGAACACAGTGCTCTATAGTACAGCCCACAGGAATTGCAACGATTATATGCGTGTGCAATATGGTGGACTTATATCAGGGTTTTCAATAAGGTTATAAGTAGGTGGCAAAAGCTTTGGAGTAGGCAGAGAAGGAAAAAACTTGCGCCAAAAGCACAACTTGCAAGCGCTGAAGGCGCAAGTTTCTATAGGGGGTCCTGGGGCAACTCTCCCTGGAAACATTTTGAATCTGGGTCTCTTAGAATGCATTTCCAGCATTCTGGACCAAAAATTAGAGTATTTGAAAAGACCACAGACATTAACTTTTGGCTTTTTCATTTGGGGACAGCACATGAATACTGTATTTAAACTGGGGTATTTTCCAAAGAAGAGTAGGCAGAAAGTTCACGTGAAATAGCCAGCGCCACAGCAATATTGATATATATAGGGTGGGTTCATATTTGCAGCACTCACGCATAGCCATTGCATCTGCCTGTTGGAAATTTTTGTTGTTTTTAAACATGAAAGCTTTAAAACAATACCTCCAACAAGTCAAACTGAGGGCTACAACACATGTATGTTTTAAAAAATGAATCCACCCCAAACTTATGACAACAATAACAGGAGGCAGCATGGCCGAGTGGTCAGCGCGTTGGACTCATAATCCCACAGTCCCAGGTTCGAGTCCGCCTCTGGCCAATTGCTGTATTTGTTCTCTGTCATCCCAAGTTCAAAACCTCGGCTATGCTTTTAAATAGCCAACTGGTTGCCTCCTGCCAGTTGGGGTTTTTAATGCTGTTATGTTATGTTTAAATTATTTGTTTCTAATTATTTGAGTGCGGTGTCTGTAAAGTAGCTGCATAAGCTAGGTGCACTTTCCACCATAAACAACCCTTTAAACCTTTATTTTCTTTTTTTTAATAACATCTGTCTTACCTTCCCTCCAATGTGCATGTCTTCACCTCTTCAAGAACAGATTTCCCTTCTTTCTTGTTTACCTCCCACAGATGGATGGTGTTCTGCTCGCCATCATCACAAACACTGATGATACGTCCCTAAAAATAGTCATAACAGACATCAGCAAAAGCAATAATAAAACAACAAGAAAGCACAAGAATAGCATTCAATAGAATCTGGTGGCATTCCACTGTGTCTGGAATGTCACTTAGAAATCAAGTTCACCGGTTAGATGCAGGGTTCTCATTAAGCACCAGAACTAGCTAAAATACCCAACTACTTTGAGGTCTGAGTCACCTACTGGTAAAGTGAGAGAAAGAAAGCCTGAAATTACCTTCAGGATTCGATTGCTAAGCCACCTACTTTAACATCAAAGCTGTCTACTTTAAAACCTAATGAGAACCCTGTAGATGCAATTAGCAATTGGGGAATTCTTCTTTCATGTTGCTTTTATTTTCACTTTGTTTCCTGTGAAAGTAGCCAAGGGTTATGCTTATGGTAGTCACAGGAAATATTCTCGGCCCATCATTGTTAGAGGCAGCCCTGCATCGTGGTCCTTAAAAAAGCATCTGCAATTTTATTCAGCAGTTTACCACTTGGTTTTTCTCCCTTAATTTCAAGGCTGTTTATTTTTAACCAAAATAGACATCATCACGAACTTAATTTTCCCAGCTAATTACATCTTGATGATCTCAATTTTAGGAATACATCATTTTTTTAATTTTGTGATAAAAGAAGCTTTACAGGTTAAAACTCACTGCATGACCTGCCAAACTATTGTCTGCCATTCTAACCACTGAATTTCACAACAGATAATTTGAACCACTTTGTCTTGTAAACAAAGAAGATTCTTTATATGTTTTAGCAGCAGTCATAAATATGTAATTGGGTCAGCCAATATATTTTACATAACAAACAAGGAATATGTTCTAATCCTGTAGGTTTGTGTACTAATGTACCAAAATTAGAAGCTGAATTAGCTAAATTTGCAGCTTTAAAGTTTTACAAACCATGATAACAGGGAATGGTTAATAGCACACAATACATCCCATTAGGCATAGCAGGAGACAAAGGATCAAACTGAGCAAGAGACAAAATCATGCACTTATTTTGTCTTTGTTCCCTTCACTAGCTGTTTCAAGACCACATACTGTCAAAAAGCAAGTGTCTAAAACATCCTTTACAAGATAATCAATGCCCAAGGAATGTAAATGTAGCAGCAGAGGTGTACAATGAGAAAGGTTTGGCATTAAAACAAAGAGAACTGTGACTGTCTGAGGGAAGAAAAGACAGTTGGATTAGGACTTGTTTTTAGCACTGCTTTATTGAGTTCCAACATCATAGTTGGGATGAAGCAGACTGTTATGTAGTTTAATTGACTAAAAATTTGCTGGGGGAATTCGAGAGATGTTTTTGTCTTTAAATTGTGAGATCAATCACAAAATCCCTGAAATACAGTGTCTACCTGGCAAATAAAAAGGAATACTTCATGGAAATAGATCACATGTGCAAAGTATTTATGCACTAGCGCATACAAACAAAAGCAGCCAATTTACAATGTGGCAAAATAAACAAGGTTTAGGGTTTTGTGCATGACAGAAAGGGAATTTGGAAACACAGTTGAAGCTTTCTTAACAGACGTTCTTATGAGCAGCCATGTCTACTTATAATGGCCCACAGTTGATTTTTTTTGTGTGTTTGCTGAGGAGCTTGCCGGTGACAAATGGGAAAAAAATTGTTGCCAGATCATAAATTTTGGTTGCCAACTTAATTAATATCGAGCTGACATAAAAGCATGATTTAAATGTTACTTCACATGCAACAAGAGTCATAAAAAGCTAGAAACAAACAACATAAGAAAGACCTCTTACAACTGTGTAAAATGGACAATTTCTTATCAGTTTCTTATCTGTAGTCTTGTGATGTAACAAAGCGACAGCACAATGAGTGTGCTTTAGGATGAACACGTTTTGATGTCATCAATGGGTTGAGCAACCTTTCTCGAAAAGTAATTCATAGGACATTGCAGAAATGCCCAAAAATATTTAGTGCAAGTTCCACTATGCAATTACCAACTAACACAAATCAGACAGTCTCTTCTACAAAATCATTCGCATTAAAAGCCTGTGGACAACTTCCCACTATCACAACAAGTCCAAGGCACACAACATTGTGTTATATTCCTAATAAGGGCTAATGAATTGCATACTTTGGTTTTTATTTGGAAATGGTTGACTGAGAAATGCAGCAAAATCTTCTAGATGTCACAAAGTTTTAAACTATTAAAATGTAAGAGAGATGGACTTTGCCCAGTCTCTAGTTTCCACTGCTGATACAGCCAATGTTGCATGCACAACTTTGCAGAAATTATAGTGACCCACGAACCACTTTGGTATGTGAGAATTTTCAACAAATTTTCAAGTTTAAGTGCCAGTGGACAGAGGGCATTGCAAACTTTTGCGAATCTCAGACTGCACACAATGTATACATATGTTTCAACAGTTAACAACATTTTCTGCAGGCCTCAATCATAAGTCAAGATATATATCGGCAAGCCTTTACCTACAAGCAGCCAACTTGCATACATTCAGAAGAGGGGTCCCTTAAGGGACCGGTCATTATTTATGTGGGGGGGTGGGGGGGATTTTTTTTGTTTTAGCATGAAAGAAAAAACGTGACCCACCCCTTTAAGGCCATTAGTTAATTCTTGACCCACCCCCATATAACTTTATATAAGAGGTGACCCACCCCCAACCCCCTTCAATCTATACCTCTATAAGGAGTTCCTGTTCACTGAACGAAATCAGCATATCCTGTGGACCAGTGTCCTACTCTGCGGCCACTTCTTGTTGATGTGCCTTATTGTATTGTTACAGTATGACTGTCTTCATCTGATTCACTTTCGCTTTCACTTTCATCACACAAAACAAGGTCATTGTCACTGTCACTCTCATCACTGTCCTCACCAACACTGATGCTTGAAGGAAATGTAGATTCCTTTGAAGTTTCATAATAGTGTACTGTGATTCGCTTGATTTTGTCGATTTTTTTTACGTTCTTGCCAAGTTTATTATGCTCGTGCAACTCGGGGACTTTCAGAGTGTCAAGCTCCCCCTTCTCTACAAGTGTTTTCCAGTCATAGCAATGTACATCTTTTATGGTTCCAACAAGCTTTTCTTTTCTTCGCTCTTGCTTACGGATTTCATTGACATTTTGCAGCTGCAACAAGTGCTCAATGTAATTCTTCACCAGTTTTTTTTTTTTCGTACAGCATTAGAATTTATTTAGATCTTCCACATGAATTGTAGTGAGTGTGATTCTTTACAAAACACACGATGACCCACCCCCAATCATCATAAAATTCTCTTTTGGCCCACCCCTTTTCTCTAAAAAAAATAGGCCTGGCCCACCCCATGATTTTTCCCCCCCACCCCCCCACATAAATAATGACCGGTCCCTAAAGGAGATTTCATTTTAATTTCATTCATGATTTAATGCACTGCTTGGTTCTATAATACTGACGTCATAAACAACGTGTGCACATAAAAAGTGCTCTCTGCAATATGAGAAAAATTAGAGTTCATAAAGATGAACATTTTGGACTACCATGGATTGAAAAAGGTTGAAAAAACAAAAATTAAACGGGAAAGGAAGTGGCCTCCAATTTAAATTTGCATAATTTTGCTTCAACATTTGACCATGGGCAAGATTCAAGAATAATATCACATGCAAACCAATACTTTCGAAACTATTGGAATTTCCAACAGTCATCTAGCAATAATCGGGGAGTTGATCTCTTGGAAACACCAAATATGATGGATGAATGTAACAAGGCTCTAATAGTTTATTCAGCGAAAGAGAATTTATTCACTTACAAACAAATGCCAATATCAGAATTTGAATATTTTATGTCAAAGAAATTCCGTTTTGTAACACAATTAAAATATCCAGATGAGACCACAATAAGTAGTTTAAAGGCAAGCTCGTTTGATTTTTAACAAGACCTTGACTAAAAACAATAGAAGTCTTCGCACAATGTTATCCCAGTGGTTATAATCAATACCTAAATTTATTCTAAATAAATGGCAGACAAAATAAATATAGACATGTATTGATTTCCTGTGCTAGAAAACCCTGGACGAAATGGATTACAACACATATAAGAAACACAAAGTGGACTCCGTTCCATAACATGGGCAACTACTGATTTAGCTTCTAGCTGGGTCAGAAACTAGAATTTTCCCTTCGTAATTGAATTTAAAAGCCCCACCCTCACAAACACACCCTCCATTTTCCCCTCTGTCGACAGAAGTTTACAAATATGAAACCTGAAGTATCAAGCTTTTTGTTGGTCACTTACCTGTTCAGGCAAAAAGTGCAACTCTTGGATGACTGTTTCGTTCTGATGGCTGGCAGAAAGCTCCACTCCAGGACGGCCATAGCTGGCAAACACGTCAAAGAAAAATTCGCGGGGGTTTCATGCATACAGAATATGTGGTAAACACAAGAAGTACCCGCGTGACTCAAATACCTAATGTACTTTTGCGAGTTTTGCCCTGCAGACTTAAATTGGTAAGGAGGCTATCCCATAACAGGTGCAGTATACGATTAACAAAATGTAACGAGAAGACATACTCCGGATACCTAACGCCAAGAGAAAAGGCAACAAGGCGTTGCACTTAATTATGAATGAAATTATGTCGGCGAAATGAAACCGACGACCCGGAATTTTGTTTCATGTAAATTTCAGAAGTTTGTTTCAGTTTCACCTTTAAGAGCTAGGTGTTTATTTCTTTTGCTAACTCGGCTTGAGCCCAAATTAACTTTATCATTTAGAATTATTTAGAGGCAACAACATGCTGATTTTCGTTTTCCAAAATTAACATCTCCTTCTCGCATATTCGACTCTTGAACCTGGTACCGCGATAGTTGTTACTTCAAGGATCTTAATTTTGTGATCAAAGATCAGCTTCGTTTGAACAGCTAGCAAAAAATATCATCAGCCACTTAAAAATCCAGAAGGAACCTTATACAAATGCGAGGATACTTTCTACTAATGATAGCGACGCGGACGCGAGTTTACAAAACGTAACTTACGACTGGTCCACGTGCGTTCGAAGGGTAATCCACGTTGTTTATGCAAAATTTGAGCTCTTTCGCGTTGGCCCAGATACCTAATTTAGAAGCCGTGGCAATGGGTAATTCAAAGGCGATGTCTTCAGGGTTTTCTTCTTTTAATCACGTCTGGTTTGCATGCAAATTCTACCCTCTAGAAATATCCAATCCTGTTCAGAGCACGTAGGAGGCTTCGTGCAAGCCAATTCCACTTGAAACGACATCAAAACATTTGGGAAGGTGAAGTCACAAGACCTACTTGAAGTACATTGGAAGCGAAAGAAAAACTTCTTTAACAAGGCTACCAATGTTAAGCTGTGTCTGAGGCGAGCAACCAATTTACGCTTGCTACAGTGTTCGTGGCATTCCCAGATCGCTTTTAATCAAATCATGATCTACAACTTGCTGTCTGGGAGCTGATGTTTTCAGCTTAACTGTAGTTAATTCCTAGAAATGGCCCCAAATCTCCGGATTTTTCGGAGCTAATAGTTGTCCTTCGAAGGTGTTACAAAACTCTTCGAGGACAAAAGCATAAGAATTGTCTGGAATGGAAAAGGGTGGGAGAGAGCAACCAAAAGTACTACGCACATTTACAAGTAAAGGATACATCTTAAGCAATCCATTGCTTGTCCCAATAGCCAGTAAGTTTAGCTCTGGATCATGAGCAATTGCCGAAGGCTTCGGTGGAAATCCATGCTCTACAGCCTGCAACAAATTGAGGGTATTAATAGCGAGCACATGTCTACCGAACGATATTCTTTTCAAAGAACAAGCCAGAAAGCGCTAAAGCAAACCTTGTTGAAGAGAAACAGATCCTTGCCGAGTTTGTCCTTCAGATGTCCCGAGCTCCTGTCTCGTGTTCTTGAAAAAAACTTAAACATTGCTACAGCGGTCGCCTTCGAAGAGAACTGAAATGCGGCGACTTTACAGGGACAAACAACTGATTAGGAAGGTCGAAGAGAGTACACCGAGAGACTCGTTAGAAAATCAATGCAATCACGCCTTTGAGAAATTGTGGTTGGGTCATGTGACACCCTGTCAATCAAACACTACTGCACCAATCAGAATGTGTATTGTGATTAAAAAGCGCGCCGAAAAAACAGTTCAGCTGCTTTAGCTTGGCTTCCCAACCTCCTCAAACAAAATTAAAGCGAAAGAATGAACTGTCCCGAATCTTTCTTTCATCATGAATAAATTTAGTTTTGAACGTTCAAGTGGTGTCATCTGAGGTGAATATTTGTTTAGACGCGCGTGATCTGCATGTATTGCATGAGATTTTGACAAGCTCGGATATTTATGCTAGATGCGTGCCCGCAATCTCGTTTAATTTGAGGAGAAGATGTTAAATTATGGACCACATTTATTTATCTTCCATGCTGTGAACATTCTTTACTTATTAATCTTAGTTGTCCACAAAAATGTAACTATAAAAACTGATGATGGACCAAGAAAACTAAGATTTTGCAATTTTTGGCATCGGATTTATTGACCGTGTTGACGTGTCAGAGAAAAAACTCAAGCTTTTTAAATATGCATATTTTTAAGATCAAAAAGAAAAAATTTCAATGCCTGTTTTACACACAGGAAGTTACACTTGAGGTGAATAGGAGCAAATTTGTTGATTTGTTTCTCATTTATATAGCCTGCTACCCTTATTCAAATTTCAGCCTGTCAGAGGAATTACAGGTGAATGAGAACTCCACCGTCCATTTTTCAAAGTCCACCCGTTTTTTATTTTATTTTATTATTTTTTTTAATAGGTAAAAAAGGGGTTAGAACACGTAAAAACATTGTTTCAACTAATAATACTTCTACCTTGAGTTTCTGACATACGCAAATTCGAAGGTACAAAGATCCCTGGAGCTTGCCTTTGCAAATACACCCACGAAACGCGCCAAACGGTTAATAGCGATGACGCAAGATTTCAGCCACTTGGGTGAAAACTCCATGTTTTGTCTGTTTGCGGCTGGCTTGCATGACAGTATCCTAAAGTTTGCATCAAAATATAATAATTTGTTTAATTTAGGTTCCGTGAAGGACTTTTTTCTTTCAAAAAATAAAGGGACAGAGAATTTACCAATATATCTTTGGTGATTTTCTTATGCGGGCGTCGAGACTTCCTGATTGTAGAAAGCGCCTGCTTGGATTCTTGGAGGGTGGTATAATGATTTCACAATAAGGACTCATTGCAGTAGGACTGTGATAAATCTTTTGGCCTGACAGTCTAGCAGAACATGCCGGAGAGGAAACCTGTCTCGAGTTAAAACGGCGATTGACGAGATTTTGAAAAAAACGGAAATATACTTCTGATTTGACATATTCGAAAACTCACAGGAAATCGTATACAGTATATAAATAATTTTAACTTAAAGATTTATCGTTATATCTACCAAAGCGTCTGTTTATACAATATTCGGAAATTTTACATGTAAATATTGACATTATCTACGAAGATGATCTATCACTGAAATAATGTGTTAAGTGCCTTGCAAATCCCAATTGCTTCATATCCAATTAATGGTTTTCAATGCAATCAACTGTTTTCATCATTCAAAATTCTTTGTTAAGCGGCATCTTCTTACAGAAAGATAAGCTTTCGAACGTCAGGGGATTTTTGTTTTTTATTTCTTCAAAGGGAGTTGATCAGTTGTCATCGGTTCTCTGTATTCTGTTGCTTTTTATCCGATTACGGACCTTGAATATATTACAAAGTCTAACGTTATGATTAATATTCAGTCACGCCTGATATCCAGTCGCACATAACTATTAATAGAAGTTACAAAATTTCTCGATTTTGAAATCCGGCCATTGAGTCATAACAGAATTGAACCCGCTTTTCGGGAGACGTTTACCGTTTTTACAAGTTTTCTTTTACAAAGTTACTCGGGACGTCACGCAACTGAATCACAACATTTAGAACCCTTTCCATTATTATCACGGATCGGTTTGTCTATTATTTGGGGTAAGATGAGTAGAAGTAATTTGTTTTTTTTTACGAACAAAACCAAGTTGATTTAAAGAATAACGAATAAAGCCGACGATATGCTAATTGCGGTCACGTGCCGCTGTGTTTATTACTTCATGAAAAGAAACTGACCAAATTAGCTTTCTACTTCCTTAAAGCCGTTTTTCCGCCTAGCCGGCGTGCGAAAAGATGTCTGTAATTAAGGCCGGGAATTAAGAACTGACTGCCTAAAAAAAAACCTATTCAAACCTTTGAATCTATGGAGTCAAATAATAGCTTATAATCGTAAAGTGTTCACAACGCTTTTTGTGCCCTTTTCTCTCGTCAATGTAAAAATCGTGCGAGTAATTGAAAAATAACCTTTCTTGGAAAATTTATTTGAAGTAGATTCACTCGCTAGAAGTGAAAATTCCTCGAGGTTACGGGGTTTCCGGAAACCGCGAATGAGCCATAATTATCCATCTTGACTGACAAAAGAAAATCTTTCAGGTTCTTGAACCTTCTGTTTAATGGCGCCCGTGATAGCTTTGCCAAAAACGACGAGGATCTTCCAAAAAGGTAATGTTTGTACAGTAAACATTTTGAGATAAAATTACACAGCAGGGTAGGGAGCTTCCCACGAAAGTCTCGCCGCTAAGCTTGTGTCCAGGTGCTCCCTCATCGAAACAAAGTCGACGGGGATCAGTAGAGACTGTTTTTGAGGAAAGGAAGCGGCTGTACTCAGGCTTTCTAGCGGTAAAGACCGACGAAAGACGGCTGTATCGCAAGCTACATTTTCCATCTTCAAGGACGTTTTTGTTGTTAAAGTTTGTGGTTTTAAGTGAACTCAAAATAGACCCTGACCCTAGATTTTAACCGCGGAATTACAATAATGATTGAGATCCAGTACTCAGCACACTTCAGTCCAACGGCAAACGCGAATTTGTACCAGGTGACCAAGTTTTCCCTTTACTTGTCGTTTACTACTCATTATTTCTACACATAAATTAGTAGTTTCACGCAATTTTGTTATCCATAGGAATGGTTTTGAACCGTTTTAGCTGCTCATTTTCTATTTTGAGAAATTCTCAGCTTGAATCTGACGTTTGACGCTTGACATTTGCCGTATACGTGAAGCTTAACTCTCCAATATGATTTGGACACATCATAACTGCAGTTTATCCAAGTTCAAGAACATGAACACCATCGTTTTTTATGCTTCTATAAAGAAGTAACCGTTGCAGACATATTTTAAAGATAACTTTCTTTTACAAAATTTATCTATTTTTAGTCTACGCCCTTGCCAGAAGGAAACGCAATTGTTGTTTGCCAAACTGGTAAGTGCCGTCTAAAAGTAGCCTCGGGGTCGGCATTGGCCTAGCGAATCCAAAAAAACTTATCTTCTAAAACGGACTGGAAAAAGACTAAAACTAACGCGTTGTGGCAGGCAAAATTGAGTTGCATGCCTTGTTATTAGAAGTTGAGAAGTTGCAACTGTGTTAAAGTTGCGCCGTATAACTTTCCTTACTGCACTGTCAAGGGGCAGAAGCTCCTGAAAGGGGTCATTATAATTGCCTAGTGGGTGACACGCTTATACAATGCAATGAGGAGCTTAAGCAACAAAGACGGTAACGGTTTCGAAAACGTCACTTATAGAAAGCAAATTCGTCAGTGGCGCTGTTTCACACTTTATCGTTCAATATTCGTCAAATGTTGGCAAATCAGTTGTGGACTTAAATTCTAAAACACTGTACTGAAGTTCGGGAAAAGATAAAAGGAAGTCGTTGTCTTGCGGTTAACACCCTCCACGTCGCAGTCGTGCAGTGACGAGAAAAAAGCGTGATCACGGAACGCGCGCAGTTGTTGTTTTGCCAATCTATTGCTTTTTTGACGTTCCCGTTTCCGTCACCGTCGTCGTTGCTTAAGCTCCCTAATAAGACTTAAAACACGAGTCAAACTTAGCAATTAATACTGGACGACTCTCTTCACATAACCATTGGTTTGGATCCTCCCCCCATGCCTAAAGCCGGTGAAAATTGATAATTGTACGCTGGCACTCCCGAAATTGAAAAGATAGATGTTAAAATATTTGCAAGAAGTCAAGTTTTGGACTCTTGCCTGCTTATCCCGATATCACGCCTGGTATCACGGGAATACAAATTGCCTAATTGCCAAGCAAAATTTGCTCATTCACCAAGGACAATAACTTCTGGTGTCCTTAAATATACGACGTGCCAGGCCACAAAGACAATATTAGGAGGAAATAGCTGTATTTAATAGCTTGTCTGAAAGCGGATTCAGCAGACCATATTCAACAGAAAACTCTGGTAGACTTCCTCGAAGTCTTTCGTACTCTGTCTCGCGCTTCGATCACATTTTTCGCTCACCTTGCTCCATTTTCGCAAGTGTACTAAAGCCAGGTTTCCATATAACCTTTCGGATCTTCTCGAAGGTAGATTGGGTATGGATACGTTTCTGGGAAATTGCCCACCTACCCCTCCCTTGAGCCAATATTTTGCCCTAAGTGAGAAGTTAGTGTTAATGTTGGCTTAGGGGAGGGGTAGGTGGACAGTTTCCCAGAAACTTGTAATGCTCTGGGTATTGCGGTTCCTTAACGGGAAAAAAGTCCATGTCAAGCCTTCGCTGATTCGCAAAAATATTTAAAAATGATCTCTTTTAAAGCGGCTTTTCGTTTCGGGAGAATCCGCATAGTGTGCCGAGGAGGCGATCTTTCGGTTTTTGCGTTGCAATCTCGTGCCTAGAGAATTAATCTTAAGGCAAAACTTCTTCAGTATTGAATGATTTTTTTTAGAATTGTTGCATTTGAATTAGTTTTAACTAGAATCAAATGTTTATACAGGAAAGCTTAATTTTAAAATTCTCGCTGCATAAGAAAAAAACCGGCATTTGCTAACCTGGGACCAGGCTCCGCTGCGGAGGAAGGAGAAGGGGGGCAGGCAAAAAAGAAAAATCAGCGAGCGAAGCGAGCCGAGCGGTAGCTCAGGCGCCCGTAGCCTCCCACGCAGGCGTTTTTAGGGGAGCTCGTTTTCCCTAACCCCCCCCCCCCCCCCAAAAAAACGGCCCCCCCAACAAACCCCCCCCGGGGGCCCCGCGCGCCCCGTCCCCCCACCCCCCCCCCCCCCCCCCCGCTTTTTTTTTTTTTCTTTCCCCCCCCTTCCCCTCCCCCCCCCCGGCCGCGTCCGCCCGTTTGCGACACCCTCCTGTTTTTTTTAAAATAGAGAAGGAGCGACGCGGGGGGGGGCGGGGGGGGTGGGGCGCGAGGGGGGGGGGGGGGGGGGCGGAGAGAAAGAAAAGAAGAGGGGGGGGGGGGGCGGTCGGGGGGGGGGGGGGGGGGCGCGGGGCCTGCCCTGGGGGGGTGTTGGGGGGGGTGTGGTTTGGGGGGGGGGGGGGG